ACTTACAATATGTAGCAATAAACGAATCCACTTCTCACTCTGTCAGACTGAAGGGTCTTCTGTTGTGGCAGGATAACCAGCATCTCCTCTGTAGGCTGACTGAATTATTAAATTATCCTATTTGGCAAGTTAATAATAACTTCCAGTCATGTAGTGGTGTTTTCCCTTCCCCACGTGTCAGTGCTTGCCCTGGGTAAGTATTTCCTGTTGTCACACAACACCTTATCTTTAATAAAAGCAACTTGCTGGTGGTTGTCTTAAAATTTCTATTCAAGCCATTCAATAAAGAGGTGTGGAGTCAGGAAAGCATTTGCTCAGTGTGTGTGCTGCTGCTTGGTCCTTCCCTGTTACCTGGTGCTGCAGTGGTAGCCTCTGGCGGTTCTGCCACCCTGTAATCGTCTTTTCAGTTTACAGTGTCTTGTTATCTCTTTTCTGCGTGGTGTTCTTTCCCCTTACCTGCTTATTTTCTGTTTCTCTGTTGCAGTTTTATACTATGCATGCTTTGTTTGAGAGGTGTTTTAAAAGAAAACGTGATAGTGTAAAACCGCTTTCAAATTCATTAAGTTGTGGGGGAGGTTAATTAAATGTCTACAATCTGCTAAACATCTAAAAAATGTGGTTTTGCATATATAGGTTCCTAAAGGTTTACCATACTTCTCTGTGGACTTTGGTCTTCAAGGAGGATTTGCCCATGTCATTGAAGATCAACACAGTTTCCCTCATTACTTTGGAAAGGTATTGTTATGTAGAAGATCAATTTACCAATTATACTCTGTTTTGTTAACTTTAATTAAAGCAGATCCTGCCAGAACAGTCACTTTGATTTATCTTATCCTAGTTCGTTAGCTGGCTTTTCTTGTTAAGTCATTATAACTTTACTCATTGATGAGTAAAGGAATAATCTAATAAATGGAAAATACTTACATCTCTCTAAGAGTTTTCATGGCCATAGTATTCTCATATAGGTGAATTGGCTCCTGCTTGTCTGAATTAGGGTGCCTACAGACAAAGACTCATGGACAACTCATAGTAAAATACTTGTGTGGTTAAATTAGTCCGTGTGGTATAGAGAGTATAGTATATACAAGAAGAGCTGCTATTAATTCTTCCTTTATTTATTACATCACAGCAATAATTTATTGACAGAGTTAATATTGCAAAAACATTAAGAATGATTGGGGAGAAATACAACTTCAGGAGTTAAGAGCAAATTGGGCAGCTTTTTTCTGAACTTTTCTTACTCAGAAATGTACTAATACATTAACAGTCTTGCAATGTTAGGGTATTTATGCAGTGCATTGCTCTGCTCTACTTAGAAGAATTTTGCTGAGGCAACTGTCTGACTACAGTTCTAATATTTTAATAGGTATATTTTTCAGAACTTCAATTTATAATAACCAGCATATGAAGAAAACAGTGACAGTTTCATGATTTAAAAATTTGTATTTCTTTATTGAAAGGTGAAATAGTATTAAGTAATATGATAATTTTGCATTTATCATTCTCTATCTTTCTTCTACTTGTGAAGGAAATTATTGGTGGCATGCTGGACTTGGAACCACGGCTCTGGAGGAAAGGAGTCAGACAGAAGTTTGAGGATCAGAGCAAGAAGGTGTTGCAGTTTGCACAGTGGTGGAAACCATATGACTTTACCAAAAAGAAGGAATGAATACATCCTTGCAGTCAAGGACTATATATAAGCCATAAATGACATTACAAGATATTTCATATGTTAAGAATAACACCAGTGTGTTATGTATTGCTAATATATTTTAAAACTCAGGATATTGTTTAATTGCTGATTACCTGTTTCTGGTTTGGACACTGTGGGTCACATAAACTTGCAAGCTTGGCAAATCAGAAGTTTACAGTGATTTTAGTTTATCATTTTTTATAGAACAAAATCCATGTGACCATTGGAGTTCTAAGAAGGAAGCTTCTGGTTTTGCGGTTTTACAATCTTTGCAGCAACTGATTTTTTCTATATTGTATTTAGCATAGAGACGGTGCTTAATTCACAGTGTCCTTTTGTAGAAAATGGTGTATATTTTACAAACATTTTGATTAATACAAATGCATTGTTGCAGAATGAAGCTGAACAGAAATAGTTTTCTGATTTTGAGTCGTTGTGTTCTTTAAGTTGAGACCATTGGAGTCATACATTCACATAGGATGTGGTTGATATACCTGCTGCTGCCCCCCTGAACAAGAATGAGTGCAACATTTTGTACTTTCAATATGAAGTAGTATTGCTCAAAGGATAGTGAGACAGTCCATAGTGGCAAATGGCAGCTTTAATGGTAACAGTTATTTCTGATAATAAAAAAAAAAAAAAAAGAGGAGAGTGGAAGAACCTTAATGGAAAACTCTCTGATGTCCTGCAAAGAAAATAATCGCAGGGGTTTCCCTGGCTGACTCTTCTCCCCCAGGCATCCCCTCCAGTGTGGCAGGTGGTCCACCATAATACTTTTCCAATAATAAATATATAGTTTTCATCAGGACCTGCTCAAACTCCTGCTGATTGTTCCTGCTTGTGATGCTCTTAGCACTGATTGGAGCACTTCCTCATCAGAGGTAAGAGTTGCCCGTTAAGTGATTGTTAAGCTTTGTGCATGGATGTCACTGGGAAATGCTTGTCCGCTATGGGACTGCTGTCTACCATGTTATTCACTAGGCTTTTCTTTTTGTTCTGTTTAAAAGTTAGGAAATGGGGGTAGGGAAGCATGAAGGCAAAAAAGAATGATTCTTGCATCAGTGTTAATCATTTTCACTTCCGTGGGAAACCTTGACATAGCAGGTTCAGGCTTTGCAGGTGTAGAGCTGGGAGAACACAACAAGGACAGGAGGACACAGATGAAAACATTGCCACAGTGTCTTCCCAGTGCATAAGGGAAAGGGTGCAGGCTTGCAAACAAAACACTGCAGTGCTACAGGGAAAGTCTCCAGATGGCAAGTGGAAGGCCCTGAGCATAGGAGAGGTTAAGGCATTGTGTAAGTGTCTCAATGTGCTTCCTGTTCTTTTCCTGCCGAACCATTGCCCCATACAGCTCTGTTAACTACTGTGAACTGCTCAGATTAAGAAGTGGATCACTAAATATTACGAGGTTGAGTAAGTGTTCATTTCTAGTCCCTTGGTACTCTTTTGCAACTTTCCTGAAGAGACAGTACTTTCTTTTTTCTTCCTTTTTCTCTCTATTTTTGGCAAGTAAGTCTGGTAGAGATAGCAGTCTACCATGTTGTGAATTATTTTCTGTAGCATCATTGTAAATTTGTGTCACTTCAAGAGAAATAACTTAAAAATAAGCTGTCGTGATAATTTCAGTGATTTAATGTCTGATTTATACTATTTTTCACCAGGAAGCCATGGCTAAAAGGGCCAGTTCTACTGTTCTCCAGTAAGTTTTGATCTCCCTTTGGCTACTGGGGAAGTTACAGAGCAAATAGGACATGAAATAGTAGCTGCTGAGTCTGTCAGCGGTTTCAGGGAGGGTGCGCTGCTGCTCCATCAAGGCCTGGGTGAGGTCTGAGCAGGAACTTAGACTCCAAAGCATTCTAGTCAATTATGTTTGCCACCAGGTTCTCTAGAGAGAACCAGGATGGATACTATAGTCAAGTGGATCATCTGCCTCAGGCCCTGATTAACTTGAAGATTCCCAGCCTGGATCTGTCTTGGTGAAAATGAGCTAAACAGGCTCCTGTGAGATGTTCACTTTCTTGTTTGCTTTTTCTCAGGCTGTACTGTTCAACCTGATATTCCCCAGGCTCACATGGTTGCTGTAAAAAGCTGCCTGAAGCATGAGGCAGTTGTTTTCATGTTAAGGACCCACATTTTAAGGTGGTTATTTTTGCTCAAACTGAAGGAAAGCACTGTGAATTTGTACACACTACATTAGCTAAAAAATAAAGTAAGTGCAAAAGCTGGCACCATATCGTTATTCTTATATTCTTAAAGTAAGGCTTTCTGCTAGTTTCTGGTGTTTGTCCAGGCAGGTAGTCATAGAATGGTTTGGGTTGAAAGGGACCTTAAAGACCATCTAGTTCCAACCCCCCTGCCACAGGCAGGGGCACCTTCCACTAGAGCAGGTTGCTCCAAGCCCCGTCCAGCCTGGCCTTGAACACTGCCAGGAATGGGGCAGCCACAGCTTCTCTGGGCAACCTGTGCCAGGGCCTCACCATCCTCACAGTAAAGAACTTCCTGATACCTAATCTGGATCTACCTTCTTCTAGTTAAAAGCTCTTACCCTTGGTATATGTATTCCACCTGCTTTTCCCTCCTTCTTTTGTGTTTTCCTTTGACCTAAGACTTTGAGGTGCTGCATTTAGTGCAGTTTTGGTGTAACAATGTTGGATTGTTGCTTTGTACTTGTTAAAATACCTGGAAGAGAACAATGTGGATTTTTGTTGCTTTGCTAGAAAATGAAAATAGCAACATTCAATCTTAGGTCTGTTTGGGCTGGTTATTTTCAGTTTGTTCATGAATCTAAACAATGCATTATTCCCAGAGTCATAATCAAATGTGATTTAGTGGGATTTTACATATTGAGTTAAAGCAACTTGTTTTAAATTTCATACAAGTTATTATTGGAAAAGAACATGTTAAAATAAACAGTAACTCTCATGGCAAGAGATAACACATCTCTTGCAGTCTTTGAAAGAAGAAATATTTTGATGAGTCCCTTAAGGTTTCTGTCTTCAGTTGAAATGTCTTCAGCATTTCCTGTGTTCTACATCTGTATTTTTATCATTAAGGAATGTTTTCTCTTTCTAATTCCAGTTGGATTGCTGGATGAAAAGATGAGGAGACACAGGCTGCTATAGTCTTAAAGTATAGCTGTTTTGAAAGCAAGATCCTTAGTATCCTAGCTAAAAGTGCCATTTTTAACCCTCGAAATCAAGATGGTCTAATCCAGTATGAAGGAACATACTTGAAATCCAAGCTTGCTAACATCATAGTTCTCATGTGCATATTGATGTAGCTGTGTGGCAGCATTACTTTTCTAGACATTGCATTTATTAATGTTAGAAGTGAGAAGGAAGGGTCACATGCTTCCTTCAGGAAGGTCATGCTGCTACATCCTTTACCGGCAAGTGGGTTCTAAAAGAACATTTAAGCTTTCCTTGTGTCCCAGATTGGAAAGCTGATAATACAATCCCAGGATTGTCCCAGAGGAATCTTTGGAAAAGAGTTGTCTGTCATTGTAAAAGCTGATGAATTTGTAGTTTTGAACACTGTATCCTGTTCAGTGATCAGTCTTGCACAACGTCCCTGCTACCTCTGGTTATTCTGAGACCTATGATAAAGTGTCTGTGAAGTACTAGTACTATAATTTAAAAGGCCTGTGTGATTGCAGGACATCTTCAACTAGGAACATCTTCACCTTCCTTGGTGTCCTGCTTCCTAGGTTTGACCTAAGCACTGTACACAGAGCGCAGAGGCACATTACACAGCACAGAATGAGTATGTTGATTTTGTTAGAGAAAGCACAGTCTGAGCTCTTGATGTGTGGGTAGATGTAAAACATTCATCCCCCAGTGCCCAGGCTATATGTGCCTTTGTACATGTGGTCTGAGGGCAGCTGGTGGCCTGAAATGGCTTTGATGCACAATATTCACATAATATTCTGTGTTGGCCTAGTCAAGAAAATAAATGGAGCTTTAGTTAGTGATGGGTTAACTGAATAATTCACTAGGGTCTAATGACTGTGTTGGTTAGAGACCAATACCTACTGTTATTAATTTGAGTGTGTAAAAGCTGTCTAACTTTGGCTGAGGGAAGTGCTTGATGAAAGTTTAGCCATCAATGTGGCTATCCCTATACAGCATTTGTCTTTGTTCCATGTGGATGCAAGGAATCTTTCAAATGTTGCAAGGTACCTTTGTGTTGAATAGTGATTTTACAGTCAGAAATCAGAGGTTTCTTTTGCTTGGGTTTTCATTTCTAATCAGAAGTGATCAGAGCACTGAACCTTAGTCTGCCAGCAAAGAAAACTAGGTCAAAATCAATGTATTTCAGTGAAATGTCTCAACTTTATTGACAAAACTTACTGAATTAAATTTCCTGGCTGATGTTCTTAGTTCTTTCTCTTGGCTTATTTTGTGTTGGAAATTAATGTGTTATTCCCATATTTAGTATTTTAACCAATTGCATTTAGAGTGAGTGGTAAACAACTGCCCGTGTAAAGCAGATCTGTAATGCTTGAGGTTGGGTCCTAGCTTGGCCCATACTGGTCTTGTGGCAAATTACGTACTTTCCCTGCCCCTTGCTCTTGGCAGACAGTGAGAGGACCACCACCCAGCAGCAGTTTTGAGAGACTTGGTTGAAATTATGCACTGTGAGTACTTGCAGTGATTTCTAATCAGGTTGGTTGAAGTTAACACTGTATACTGTTGCCTGTTCCTGAGAACTCGGAGGGGAGTGGGAATGTTATCTGTGATTACAACATAGATTCAGTATTTTAAAAGCCCTAAACAAGTTACTACACTTGTGAAGGCAGAGAGTAGACAGAATTTGGCTGTTATCTCTTTTACAAACAGCACATGCTTCTCGAGAGATTTCTGTGAACCAGCTCTCCACTTTTCCTGATGTGTAGTCTTTTGTGGGAAGCTTTTGGGTTATTTTCTTTTTAAAGCAAGCCAGAAACAGATGATATAGAATTCACCTCACATCTG